ACTTCAGGTTTTAGCAATTTTCGGCGTTTATATATAAGGTCAATATAAAGTCTATTAAAAATCTGTAAAGTAAAAAAAGTAACTAAACTCTTTATATTTGTTTCTAAATATTTTATTATTATAGTAACATGTTTAAATTGTGACAACCTATGCAAATAAATAAATATTTATTCGTAGTTTCTTGGTGTGCATCTCGCTCATAAATGTTAAATTGATTGAGGCATATTGCCGACATATCGCGATGTTGTCTCGATTATATAACTTCCTCGAGGCAAAGCACAGCTCTCCCAGGCGGCGCTGAGGCAAAGGAAAAAGTGTTACAGACACGCTACCGTCTAACGATACTGATACTGAATCCGAATCCGATGTGGGTACTAGTGCCTCTCCGACTTCGACTCCAACTCCGACACCCACTGCCTTACATTCATAATCTATTTCTGCTGCCACATGTTGCAGCAAAAGCTGAGCTTGCCAGGGGAGCTGGAAGAGATGGGCGGAGAATTGCGGAGAGACTAGGAGAAAGACGGAGGAGAATTGTGGGGAGTGTGACTAGGAGAAAGACAGGGGAGAATTGTGGGGAGGCTGGGAGAAAGAGGGAGACAAAGACAGCATCCGGAATCGTTATGCCAAAAAAAAAAAGAGAAGGAATCACAGCGACCGATGGATGCTCTTTAAAAATTAGACATAAAAATAAAATAGGAATATTACAAAAAATAAAATGTAGGGGAAGTTTATAGTTATACAAAGATTTTACAATAATATATACAACTTTGAGGATCTAGAAAATTTTTGAAAATATATTAAAAGAAAGAAATCCTAAACCTTATATTTAATAATCATAGTAAAGATTGTTCCCTAGAAAATTGATAAAAAATAATTGCAGCATTGTTGCCACCAATAGAAACTTAATATTACTCTTCAAAAAATCTGTTAATTTTACATCCTATTATCATAAAAAGTTTTACAAAATGAAACATTAACACCCACAACAAAATTGGTTGAGGAAGCTTTAATTAAAATTGAATTTGTTTTAAACGATTCATAATATTTTTACATAACCACCGCTGCCAAGAGTATTAATAATGAAAGACGAGAGGTGGAATTCAGGTTTGCAATGCGGTAATGCACCGCCAAAGAAGCCGAAGAGCCACAAGATTGGTAACCTGTACCGAGTCTGGTGAAGATCGGAGGGGAGAAATGGTCGTCCACTCAGCCAGTGGGTCGTCTTGGTCGTCGAATGTGGATGTGGATGTCTGGTTGTCAGTTTCAGCGACTTCTGCACTGCGCGCACATGCGCCATAAATGGCATTAAAAAACAGCTAAGAAGAGCTGATGATGATGATGATGATGATGATGAAGATGGTGGAGATGCTGCTGGAGATGCAGAAAGAAGATGCTGCTGCGGCTGGAGAAATGTAGGAGAGACTCTTGTGACCAGTGGTGTGCCACTGTTCCACATTCGGATTACGGAAATATCTGCAGCCAGTAACAACAACATTGGGTCGCCGACAGATGGGGTCCGGTTCGGTTGAGATCGACTTGGTTGGGGATTGGATCGGTTTTCTCACCATTTCAGCCTGACCTGCTATAGCCATTAAGGCACTTGAAACAAATTAAGCATCTTCACACTAGTCAATGATCAAAAATGACACAGCTGATGAAGAATGACTTGTACTTGCAAAAAGTTGTATTTCCTTTTATTTTTCTTTAGCTAGATCTTAAAGGCTTTTTATTTTTAATTTTTGTAAGTCATTATAGACCCTTAACTATATTAATAAATGATATAGGGAAATGCTAACTAAAAAAAATAAAATAAAATAAAAATTATTAAGAATTATAAAGAATTATACAATTATTAGATTAATATTCTAAGAAAAAAGATATTCATGATTTATTACTTTCAATTTTCAGCTTTAACTTTGAATTTCTTTACAGTGCCTCCAATCACCTGCTGCTGCTCCTCCTTGCTTTTTCTCCTGTCTGCTCCTCCTTCTCCTCCTCCTTCTCCTCCTCCTTCTCCTCGATTGCTCGCCTTTCAGCCTCTGGTTGCGGTTCTCAACAACTTTCACCTTTCACGTAATCTGGCGAAGCCGAACAAATCTCTTTGGGTCTGGCTGGCTTTCTCAACTCAACGGATCCGCCAAAGATTCATTTATTGTCGCTGCTATTTGCCAATTGACCATTTCCAGGCTGGAGGAACTCAATTACGGCGCCGCCGCTCGTTGGGATCTCATCTCTCTCTCTCTGTTTATGGTCCAGGAATCGCACCGTCTAGCGGTACATTCTCCATAGATTGAGAATCTTTCGAGTCCAAGCAGAGGGGGGTATCCGGGTAATGATGGAGGTAAATTACATACCCCATATATTCCCACATTTCTGCCGCTGCTTCGATTCTCCTCCAATTCTCAGATTCTGGCTCAGCAAGACCAAAGTCTCAATCGTTGCGAAATGCCCATTCCAAAGCAGGACAGGATGTAACATCATTGTAATTCCATGGCACGGAAGTCGGTCATTTCGATGGGAATTTAGTAGGATTTTTTAAATATGGTGATTCATTGGAATATTGAAATTCCAAAGTATGAAAAATTCAAGAAATTTTAATATTTGGATATTATTATTATTAAGGATGATGACTATATTTTCTATTTAAAAACTATAATTTCATAAATTTAGAAATTAATAAATTGGGTTTATAATTGTGTGTTGTATTTGATCATTATTTTATATATAAATACATTTTATACAGTTTCTAATTGTTAAATATAGTTCTGTTGATATAATATTTATTATTCCTTACAGAAAGTTTCATTCCTCTCCCTCACATTGATACCTATTCTTATATTCCTCTTCGATGTCGTTTATTAAATCAATTTTATCATTATAGTATTTGTTCGAGGGCACTTCAAAAATTTTGAATTTTTCAAAGAACCCAACTTCATTTTCCACAGTTTCCTGGGTAAGATTACTTTTGATTATTTGGGACTCTTTAATGAAATGTTCATTGACCATTTGATATAACTTGCCAATGTCCTGGTAAAACTTCTTTTTGTAGACCCTGTTCTTAGCGTAGACCTTTAATGGATTTACGCCCACGCCAATGAACTCTTCTAGCTGGGTCTTGTTGTCTTTATTGGGATGTTTGTCCTGGTATTCCTTGAAGTCCTTTTCGAATTTATTTTCAATATTTTTCATAAACTCCATATTTATTGCAAAGATGGCTCCAAATTGCTGCATTTTAATGATTTCAAAAGTGGCTAGAAAATCGCAGAGTATCTTTTTATCTCCGTCAGGCAATTCGATTTTGGTAACATTCTGCAGGGAATCGAGGTTCAAAATGTCAGCTATATAGTCTTGGGTTTCTGTGGTTACTTCTTCTTCCGTGGAATTTATGGGTAACTCAGAGGTAGGAGCACTATAGGCTGAGAGCTGTAATAAAAGGAGATTTTAGCTTTGAAAATGAATTATATAAATTCTTCTCTTTACCAGCAAAGCTGCAGCGATCACCAGAAAGATCTGCATTCTGCAATTTTCTCTTTTAAACTAAACTTGCAGAACAAGTATCTTGAGTTTTTATAGGAAAAAGCCACGCTGCAACTGCATTAAACTTATAAATAGAAATGTCTTTGATAAGCATATAGAAAGATCGTTGAACTATACACCGTACTACCTTAGTTTTCTATAAAACTAAAGAATATAGAAATTCCAATGCTTGGAAATTCAAGAAATTGCAATAAATAAATAATTAATTTAGAGATTTGTGAATTTGGTTTATAATTGGGTGTTGTATTTGATATTTATTATTTATATAAAATCATTTTTTTTTACAGTTTTTAATTGTTACATATAATTTTGTTGATATATTATTTATTAATGCGTACTGAATATTTCATTCCTCTTCCTTACATTTATACCTATTCTGATATTTCTCTTCGATGTGGTTTATTAAGTCAGTTTTATCATGATAGTATTTTTTCGAGGGCACTTCAAAAAGTTTGAATTTTTCAAAGAACCCAACTTCATTTTCCACAGTTTCCTGGGTAAGATTACCTTTGATTTTTTGGCACTCTTTAATGAAATGTTCATTGAACTCTTGATATATCTTGCCAATGTCCTGGTAAAACTTTTTTTTGTAGACAATATTTTCGCGGTAGATCCTTAATGGATCTACGCCCACGCCAAAGAACTCTTCCAGCTCGGTTTTGTTGACTTTATTGTCTTGGTATTTCTCGCCAATGAACTCTTCCAGCTGGGTTTTTTTGTCTTTATTGGGATGTTTGTCCTGGTATTCCTTGAAGTCCTTTTCGAATTTATTTTCAATATTTTTAATAAATTCCATATTTGCTGATAAGATGGCTCCAAATAGTTCCATTTTTAAGATTTTAAAAGTGGCTAGAAAATCGCAGAGTATCTTTTTATCTCCGTCAGGCAATTCGATTTTGGTTACATTTTGCAGGGAAGCGGGTATCCGAATGTCAGCTGTATAGTCTTGGGTTTCTGTGGTTACTTCTTCTTCCGTAGAATTTATGGGTAACTCAGAGGTAGGAGCACTATAGGCTGAGAGCTGTAATAAAAGGAGATTTTAGCTTTGAAAATGAATTATATAAATTCTTCTCTTTACCAGCAAAGCTGCAGCGATCACCAGAAAGAACTGCATTCTGCAATTTTCTCTTTTAAACTAAACTTGCACAACAAGTAGCTTGAGTTTTATAGGAAAAAGACACGCTGCAACTGCATTAAACAGATAAATAGAAATGTCTTTGAGAAGCATCTCGATTCTAGAAAGATCGTTGAACTACACACCGTACTACGTTATTTTTTTTCTATGAAATAAAAGAATATAGAAATTCCAATGCGAGGCAATTCAAGAAATTGCAATATTTGCTGAAAAAAATTAAGGATGATGACTATATTTTCTATTTAAAAACTATAATTTAATAAATTTAAAGATTTATGAATTGGGTTTATTGGGTGTTGTATTTAATATTTATTTTTTATATAAAATCATTTTTTTTACAGTTTTTAATTGTTACATATAATTTTGTTGATATATTATTTATTAATGCGTACTGAATATTTCATTCCTCTTCCTTACATTTATACCTATTCTGATATTTCTCTTCGATGTGGTTTATTAAGTCAGTTTTATCATGATAGTATTTTTTCGAGGGCACTTCAAAAAGTTTGAATTTTTCAAAGAACTCAACTTCATTTTCCACAGTTTCCTGGGTAAGATTTCCTTTGATTATTTGGGACTTTTTAAATAAATGTTCATTGACCTCTTGATATATCTTGCCAATGTCCTGGTAAAACTTTTTTTTTAAGACTTTATCCTTGAGGTAGATCATTAATGGATCTACGCCCACGCCAAATAACTCATCCAGCATGGTTTTGTTGTCTTTATTGGGATATTTGTCCTGGTATTCCTTGAAGTCCTTTTCGAATTTATTTTCAATATTTTTCATATCTTCCATATTTGCTGCAAAGATGGCTCCAAATTGCTGCATTTTAATGATTTCAAAAGTGGCTAGAAAATCGCAGAGTATCTTTTTATCTCCGCCAGGCAATTCGATTTGGGTTACATTCTGCGGGGAATCAGGGGTCCAAACTTCAAATGTATAGTCCTCGGATTCTGTGGTTACTTCTTCTTCAGTGGAATTTATGGGTAACTGAGTGGTAGGAGCACTATAAGCTGAGAACTGTAATAATAGGAGATTTTAGCTTTATAAATTAATTATATAAATTCTTCTCTTTACCAGCAAAGCTGCAGCGATCACCAAAAAGATCTGCATTCTGCAATTTTCTCTTTTAAACTAAACTTGCACAACAAGTATCTTGAGTTTTTATAGGAAAAAGCCACGCTGCAACTGCATTAAGCTTATAAATAGAAATGTCTTTGATAAGCATATAGAAAGATCGTTGAACTATACCCCATACTACATTATTGTTCTATGAAATTAAAGATAACTCGTAAGGGTGATGCATTAAAGGCCATCAACATATACTCAATATTTATGCACCGCAAGAACTCTTCCGATGACAAAGTTTTCAATGATTTATTAACTTTGCTCATATATTTACCCATCCACAAATCCCCCTCCGCTTTTTCTCCTCTCCAATGTTGAGGAAATGGAACTCCTTGAATTGGGTTTATACCATAATTGGATGTTGTATTTGATATTAATTTTATAAATAAAATCATACATTGTATACAGTTTTTTATTGTTACATATAATTTTGTTGATATAATATTTATTAATACGTACAGAAAATTTCATTGCTCTCCCTTACATTGATACCTATTCTGATATGCCTCTTCGATGTAGTTTATTAAATACATTCTTTCATCATAGTATTTTTCCGAGGGCACTTCAAAAAGTTTGAATTTTTCAAAGAACTCAACTTCATTTTCCACAGTTTCCTGGCTAAGATTACCTTTGATTTTTTGGCACTCTTTAATAAAATGTTCATTGAGCCCTTGAAATATCTTGCCAATGTCCTGATAAAACTTTTTTTTAAGACTTTATCCTCGAAGTAGAAATTTAATGTATCTACGCCCACGCCAATGAACTCTTTTAGCTGGGTTTTTTTGTCTTTATTGGGATGTTTGTCCTGATATTCCTTGAAGTCCTTATTGAATTTCTTTGCAAGACTATTCAAATATTTCATATTTGCTGCAAAGATGTCATCGAATTGCTGCGTTTTGATGATTTTAAAAGTGGCTAAAAAATCGCAGAGTATCTTTTTATCTCCGTCAGGCAATTCGATTTTGGTTACATTTTGCAGGGAAGCGGGTATCCGAATGTCAGCTGTATAGTCTTGGGTTTCTGTGGTTACTTCTTCTTCCGTGGAATTTATGGGTAACTCAGAGGTAGGAGCACTATAGGCTGAGAGCTGTAATGAAAAGAGATTTTAGCTTTATAAATTAATTATATAAATTCTTCTATTTACCAGCAAAGCTGCAGCGATCACCAGAAAGAACTGCATTCTGCAATTTTCTCTTTTAAACTAAACTTGCAGAACAAGTATCTTGAGTTTTTATAGGAAAAAGCCTCGCTGCAACTGCATTAAACCTATAAATAGAAATGTCTTTGATAAACATCTAGAAAGATCGTTGAACTATGCATTAAATGCCATCAATATACATATACTACTCAATATTTATGCACCGAAAGAACTCTTCCGATGACAAAGTTTCCAATGATTTATAAACTTTGCTCATATCTTTACCCATCCCCAAATCCCCCTCCGCTTTTCCTCCTCCCCAATGTTGAGGAAATGGAACTCCTTCGCCACTCCGAACTTAGATCCTCCCGGTTTCTCTCCTTCCGCTGGCGAGAAAAATTAACTTTGCACGAAAGTCGGTCATTTCGGTAGGAATTTAGTGGGATTTTTAAAATATAAATATAAAATATAGAAATTCCAATGCGTGGAAATTCAAGAAATTGCAATATTTGCTGGAAAAAATTAAGGATGATATTTTCTATTTAAAAACTATAATTTAATAATTTTAGAAATTTATGAATTGGGTTTATACCATAATTGGGTGTTGTATTTGATATTTATTTTATATATAAAATCATACATTTTATACAGGCTTTTATTGTTACATATAATCCTTCCTCGCCCTAACATTGATACCTTTTCACATATTCCTTTTCGATGTCGTTTATTAAAAGCATTCTTTCATTATAGTATTTTTCCGAGGGCACTTCAAAAAGTTTGAATTTTTCAAAGAACTCAACTTCACTTTCCACAGTTTCCTGGCTAAGATTACCTCTGATTTTTTGGCACTCTTTAATGAAATGTTCATTGATCACTTGAAATATCTTGCCAATGTCCTGGTAAAACTTTTCTTTGTAGACTCTATCCTCGAGGTAGATCTTTAATGGATCTACGCCCACGCCAATGAACCCTTCCAGCTGGGTTTTTTTGTCTTTATTGGGATGCTTGTCCTGATATTCCTTGAAGTCCTTTTTGAATTGATTTTCAAGATTATTCATATACTTTATATTTGCTGCAAAGATGGCATCAAATTGCTGCATTTTGATGATTTTAAAAGTGGCTAAAAAATCGCAGAGTATCTTTTTATCTCCGTCAGGCAGTTCGATTTTGGTTACATTCTGCAGGGAATCGAGGTTCAAAATGTCAACTGTATAGTCTTGGGTTTCTGTGGTTACTTCTTCTTCCGTAGAATTTATGGGTAACTCAGAGGTAGGAGCACTATAGGCTGAGAGCTGTAATAAAAGGAGATTTTAGCTTTGAAAATTAATTATATAAATTCTTCTCTTTACCAGCAAAGCTGCTGCGATCACCAGAAAGATCTGCATTCTGCAATTTCCTTTTTTAAACTAAACTTGCACAACAAGTATCTTGAGTTTTTATAGGAAAAAGCCTCGCTGCAACTGCATTAAACTTATAAATAGAAATGTCTTTGATAAGCATATGAAAAGTTCGTTGAACTATACCCCATACTTCATTATTTTTCTATAAAATTGAATTAAACCCGTAAGGGTGATCCATTAAAGGCCATCAATATATACTCAGTATTTATGCACCGCAAGAACTCTTCCGATGACAAAGTTTCCAATGATTTATAAACTTTGCTCATATCTTTACCCATCCACAAATCCCGCTCCGCTTTTCCTCCTCCCCAAAATGGAACTACTTCGCCAGTCCGGACTTAGATCCTCCTGGCTTCTCTCCTTCCGCTGGGTGAGAAAAATTAACTTTGCATGGAATTTAATTTACGTCCCATGGTAGGACGATGATTTCCTGCCCAGGCAAAAGCCCTCCTCTGGTGGTGGTGGTGTCCTTTAGGTTCGTTCGCAGTCCACCATCGTCCGTATTCCGGAGATGCAGTCCGGAGCAGCTGCAAAGGAGGATTGTGCTGCCGTGGCAGCTTCCGTCATTTCCTTGACGTAAAGGCTTCTGCCTCCCGCATTCCGTTTTGCCATTTACCAGGGGACGAGCGGTGGTTATGGGAGACGGGATCCGGAAATGGGAAGCTGAGGAAGAAGAAGACAGGCGGCGGCTGCAGAGCCAGCGGCGGCGACCGTCACGCTTCCTGCAGGATGCGACAACGTAGTCAGATGTCCAATCCGCCACTGGCGTTTCACGGTTGCAAACACAGAGAAAAATCGATAATTTCTTACCTGCCAAACGGTGAAATATTGAAAATAGATTTGTTAACATTTAAGTTCTAATAATTAAAAAGTAAATAGTAATTTTATGGGTCATTATCGATATTAGACCAGATTTGAGTCATAAAGCGGTTGTTATTGAACATTTTCATTGAGATTTTCAAGTGACCGTGTGGCCTAATGGATAAGGCGTCGGACTTCGGATCCGAAGATTGCAGGTTCGAGTCCTGTCACGGTCGAAGAAAACTATCTTTTTTTTTCAAAAGTATTTATTTAGTTAGGTAGAAAATATTATATTTTAAATTGAAAATTATATTAAAAATATTAAGGTTCTTTTTTTTGTATGTTTTCTTCGTGATCTGAAAATGTAATAAACAAAATATTAAATTATAATATAATTATATATTATATATTGGATATTTAAAAAAATTAAGATCAAAACAAAATAAAGAGCTCATAAATAATAAAAAAAACCAAAATCCATCCATAAACTTATTAAACACGTAGCAATTATAAGTAAATAAGCAAAACTCAAACATAAAATCATCACCAAAGTACCCTTAAGTAAATTATTTCTTATCACTTTTCCCCTCAAATTTTCTTTTAAAGTCTTACAAATTAAATATGATAAAACTTTGAAACACTTTTCTCTGCCTGTTTTCACCAGCTCCGCTGCTGTGTGTCCCGTGTCCTGGCCCACTTGTGTGTACATATCAGCGCCGTCCTGTTATGTCCTCGCTCTCGTTTTCGTCCTGGTCGCCTGTCGCTGCTGTTTACTCGCTTTAATCAACCCATCCAAATCCACATTCATGTCCATGTCCACGAAATGTTTTGTGTGCCGTGCTCCCAGCGCCGCCTGCTGCTGAACGTGGACGGCGGGTGGGTGGATGGAGAGGCGGGCTTCCTGCCCGCCCCGTCGTCACTTCCTTGCAAATGCTGCAGCTTCCGTTTCCGGGATATAATGTTCATATTTTCGAGGACATTTTCAGGAAATAAAGTACGTCGCCCTCTGCCCGCCTCTGTCCCAAGTGTATATGTGTGTGTTTGCAGCGGGGATAGCGATAACAAAACCCACCCAGGTCCACCCAATCCACTAGTCACTTCCTCTTTGGAGGAGAGTCCTGGCTCCTGCCAGGAAACTTTCTGCCTTTTGCCGTGTGCGCATTTATGCCAGCCCAACAACTGTCAGCTGGCCTCCCACTCTGACCCACCTCCTCCTTTGCCTCCTCCACCTCCTCCCGCTGCGCCTTTCACTCTTCGCTTTTTGCTTCCGCTTCGACAGCAGGATGCAGGATGCAGGATGGAAGAGAGCTGGTGCGGTGGGAAGCCAAAGGGGACCCAGAGTCTGTTTGAATTTTGTCGCACTTCCTGTAGGTGGAAAAGCTCCGTGCGTCTTCCGCTTTTCCAGAGCTGCTCATCAGCAACGTAATTTCCGCACAGCCAGAGCAGCGTCCTCTACCCCCTCCTCTATGTGTGTGTGTGTGTGTGTACCGGGTTCGTGGGTGGGCAAGGATTAAGAGTCCAGAGACAGCCACTGGAAACGGGAACAGGCTTTAAACAAGCTGCTCAAAAGACACAAGGGGAGACACTTTAAAAAATATGGGAAAGGAAATTACTGCATAAATTTGTTGTCAATTGTATTTCTTAGAATTTT